ACATACCCCCCCCCCCCCCCCCCCCCCCAAAAAAAAAAAAAAAAAGAAAAGGCACAAAACCATTAACAGAGAATGAGTCACCTAATGTCTCTGATTTGCCACCCCTTTCTAATCATTTCGACAAAGTAAAAAGTAAAAATGAATAATTCTTACCATTTTCTTCTGTTGTTGATGGCATCCTTAGAGACAAATCAGCCAACGTCTGCAGTGCATCAAAGGTAGATCCCTCGTCTATACAAAAGAGAATTAAAGTCAAGCAAGTGGAAACTTGCAGTAAATGTCAACTCAATCTCCAAGAAAATGACAATTGCAAGGTGTGGCCATATATCACACAGGCCATGGATTGGAGCCCGACCATTTCAAATAGGTAGAAACACAGATTATATGCTATCTCATTTATAAAATGCTAAATAATCCTCCCTAAAACACTTAACGCTGTCTTAGAGAATTATGGAAATTATTTAGACCGAAGAAGTTAAACAAGGACTAAATATCCTGGTATACCATAAACAGTCTTGTGTTCCATGGTTTCAGTTGCTGAAGTTTTACGTTTTCATTGTACACTCTCTCTTTCTCCCCTCACACTCAACACGCTCAATCTCATGTTTTCTTTCCGACATTGACTTTCATAGTATTAAAAAAACTGACAGAAGCAAAAAGCTTTCAAGCAAATGGAGAGAAGAGGAGGCCAGTGTGATCCTGAAGGAATATAAACTTTTCAAAATCAACTTACTTTCTCTGTTTATGAAACATAAGAGAGTATCAGTTTTCTGTCTCGATGACAGAACTCAAAAGCAGCTGAGATAATAGATTTATGTCCGAGCTTTGTTTAGTTTAGTTTAGTTGAGTTGAAATAAACAGTTATGCCTAAAAATAAGGTAACAGAGCTCCACCAGTGATTTCCAGAAATAGGAAAATGAATACAATTCAATAAAAAGGAAAAGTATGAAAAATAAATAATAAAACAAGTTCATGGAACTTGAACAAAAAAAAAAAACCGTACCTCCCTCGAAAAGAACCTTTTTGCTCCTCTTTCTCAGACCCTGTGACGAAAACCTCGATATTTTTGCATCTGTGACCTCCATGACAAATTTCCCCATAACTTTGCCCAATTTTTGTCCTTCTGTCCCGCTACAGGCTTCTTTAAAGTCATCCAAATGATTGGTGCAATCGTCATCAACTTCAAGTTTCTTTCCGTAATGTCCTCTTCCCTTTTTATCCACAGTACCAACACTTTCCATTACCCTTGTACAACTCCTATCCCTAGAAGATTCTCCCTTATCAACTTCCAGGCTTGCTTGCAAGCCAACTTCACCCCTGTCACTTCCAACAAGCTTGGCACTGGTCATTTCTGTTTCAGCAAGCTATATCCACAAACTCCACAAATCAATTGCCTCCCTACTTAAAAAGAATATTGGAGAAAGCAACATAAGTAAGCAAATAATGGTCGATGATTACCACTTTTTCATCATTCCAAACATGTGATGACACGAAACATTCAGAGCTTCTGTTTGGTGTTTGAGAAACCTGTGGAGAACCACCTCTCTGGGAAGCCTCGACCAAAGCTATTGCTATCGCATGAACATCTTCATCATCATTTGCATCCACCTTTAATTTCTGGGCCTGCCTTGTTGCAGAAAATAACTTTTCCCCCTCAACATCCATGTAAAAGTATTTTACAGGGACACGTGGCGTCCTTTTTCCAACAGCACGAGGTCGGCTTCCTAAAGCACCATCACAAGAAAATCTTAAAAATTGAGCCTCAGAATCATTTCAACTTAGGACAAAAGGTTTAGAACTACACCAAAGTCCCTCGTCTATTTCATGTCTCCATGTAGTGCTTAACCTTAAGGAAATTATTAAACCCTAATGTACCAAATAGATACCTGAATAGCTCCCCAAAAGCAGAACAGTTGCAGGCACCTTGACACCAAACAAAAAGAGCAAATGCAATCCACCAGCCACCACCCATAATGCAACGTAAACAATAGGACATGTGTTTGGTGTGTGAATGTGCGCACATTCACGTGAGTGTTTGCGTGTATGTTTGGTATGTGTGTTGGGTAGTGGATAAAAAAGAGAGAGAGGCACACATTCATGTGAGTGTTTACATGTATGTTGGGTATGTGTGTGTTGGGTAGTGGATAAAAAGAGAGAGAGAGACGCGCAATAGAAATATCCCTTGCATCTCTCAAAACATAATCTTTGACACAATAACTTACCACCAGAGGACCTCTTCTTTAACAATGACAGGCAACCATAACTTGAAGTGACCGTCGCGGAATGCAAAAGGGCACGCCCATCAGATCCTTTAGTGATATTAGGCTGAACATTAATTTGAGCACGCTTTTGAGGTTTTCAAGATGGTCCTGCACCATCATTGCTTTCTTGTTCACTATCACTTCCTGCCTGCTATGCCACAATCCAGTGACTTCAGTTTCAGACAAAGCCATCAATAAGGCATTTACATTGTCTAGACTCAGAGGACATACTCAATTATAAACAGACTGATCTGTTCCATTGATAAGAAAGCATCTAACTTCATACTCAAAAACTACACAAAAACCAACATATGAAAAACAAATTGAACAGTACTGGCAGGGGATAAGCAGTCTTTGAACGAGTAATTCGGCGAGCAACTTACAAATAATGTATTCCTAAAAGGTCATGTCTTCAATTGAATAATGTCGTTGTGATGACAAATCATCACATCTCCATTGGAAATATAGACATCCAGAGATGTATAACATATGAATTTGATTTTATGTATTGCAATTATGATAGATAATTGACAGCTATGAGAGATTTACGATATAAAATTACATGTGTTAAACAATCATCTACTCCAAAAGCTTGTTGGAGTGGGTGCAACTTAAGTATTTATTCCTCAATATGTCCCCTCACGTGCAGGTTAGATTTTGGGCCTAGCACGTGAAAATCTTTTTTAATAATTAAGGTGGCAGCTGTTAAACAACTATCTACTCTAAAAACTTAGGCTATTAGAGAGAGGTATAACTTAAGTATTATAATTCAACAACATGCAAGTAACTGATAATACATAAAAACTCTAATTAGTAAGATAAGAAATATTTAAGCAATATCAACATTAGGCAATGGGTAAGTGTACACCCCTATAAATTCCATATATATACATATATGTAAATGCTACAATAAGGAGGTAATTCCAAAGTTAAAAGCACTTGGATCCAAGTGAAGTTAAAGATCTTATTAGCAGCAGCTAACACACAATAGTCACAGTAAGTGTCAAAAAATAACAATTGTCTACTAGAAGTGTTACTATCAGAAAGAAAAAGAAAAAAGAAAAGGCCATTAAGTTGATTTCATTTTTTTCTACTTTTGTGTTTCTCAACTTTCAAAGAAAAAAGTGACATCCTTTTCAAGATTCAAAATCCTAGTCAGTTATCATTAAAGGGGAAAAAAAGCCTTTCCAGTATTCAATCTCACCAGATTGCTGTAGTGATCAGTCATCATTGCTATTAGCCCAGCTATGGAAGCGGTCCCCTCAGGAAGTGACAAGTAAGCCTGAAAATACAACAGTAATCAGAGTTGCCAACTTAAATCATGAACGGTATAGCACTTCACATTCATTAATCCATGTTATGGCCCCAACTTCCCTGTTTTAAGTACCAATTGTTATCGTGGAGCAGTGGGCCTTAATACAGATAAAAGTAAATGACACAACTTGGGCCCCGTTTTAATATTTCCAGGAGCGCCCCAAAAGTGTTCAAAGCCACAATGAAGTCATTCTTGACTTTCCTCACCAATGATTCACTTAATTACCTCATGAAGTTTCATGTTTAAAAAGTATTTACGCATCTAATCATTCCTTGTATGATTTACTAGTACTAGCATTATATGCTTCAGAAAAGGATGAAAACTTCACAAAATTTATTTATAGGGCAATACGCACATTCCTTACCATGGCGATTGATCACATTCTCAGGCTTGTAAAGTACTACAAAAAAAGGTATGATGAGGATCACATGAAACAATGTGGTAGTATATGTTAGGAGATAAAAGAGATAGAGATTGAAGAATAGGCACCCATGGACTTGATAGAGGAAAATTAAAGGCGAAAACAGTTTCTATTAAGACGATGAAGGTAAACAAAATGGAATGCAAATGGCAAAATGGTAGGATATGATATTTGATTTAGTTCACAGAATAGAAAGGGATATCAGAAAAATAAAGGGCAATGAGACCGTAACAAAAAAATTGGATGAGGAATACTGATGTTAAAGGGTTGAATATTTCATGATTCTAACAGAGTGGATGGGGCAGGGAAAGCTGGATCAGTTTGCTACTAGATGTAGTAAGAGAATGGTCAAAATGAACTTTCTCCTAGGCAGGCAGGGACCAGGGAGAGTGCTTCTAGGAGGCATGGGTTTTAAAAAATAACAATGTAAAGAAAGACACATCATTGGGTGGATTAAGGCATAAATCTAGTGTGACATAAAAAATACTTACCATATTCATTGAGTAGAGAGTCTCCACCATTTCCACAGATCGGTTTCCCACTGCAGCTGCCACCTAACAATCCTCACAAAACAGCAATCATGAGATGCTAACTTTTAAAAGATTAATCGGAGAATCTAAACCCCATAAGTTTCCTGCTCATTCACACCAAATTTATCAAAATTTCAAGTAAATGACTTCAAAGGAAACGACTAATATCAATCGGTCCAAAAAAGCTAAATAAAAGTAAATGCTCGGTGCCTGTTAAGGTATAACCATAAGACTATTTCACCCCATTTCAAAATATGAACCAACCTTTTTCCAATCTACTCCATACTTGCGATACGCTTCATAAAAGCGCTCCAGCTCTGTCTTGCTCCATTGAGCCCCTAACATGTCAGACACCTTCCTCTTCTGCAAAGATTAGGGAAATGATCATAAAGGATGCTTGCAAAACCAAACTTCCAAACATTAGCTTGCAAAAAAGGTTGCAGAATATCAAGTGACTATATTACAATTATAGAAAACCATAGAATTGGCATATCAACTTCTAAAAATAAAACCAACTCTTTGCACCAGGCTTCTGGAGGAAGTCATGGAAGAGGAACTAATAATGAAAAAAAAAATTGACAAAAAATATTAAAATCTTAGACAAGTGTATGGAAATTTGGAAAATGCCCCTTTAAAACAAGTAATCTGTTATTTTGGCAGTACCCAGGTCAGACCCTATACCATATCAAAAAAAAGGTCGGACCCTACACCTATGCTATTATCCTTGTTAGATGCAACTGACCAAGCAAACAGTAGCTGAATATTATGTGCAGCCACATTTAATTAATTCCACTTATTTCAAAATGCAGGTTGGATCCCATTGATCAGATGTTGCAAACACTAAGAAAAAGACCTTCCAACGCATGAAAAACAGTGATCACCTGTCTCTGATAATGCACTTCGATTCCTAAGACAGTCATCTGTTAATGGATGCAGTGTTAGGAGATCAAACTTTCCAAACGTAAAACGAGAAGAAACCTAATAAATATCCCACAGTAGCATCCAGTACAAAAGGCCAACATCTGATTAACACTCCTCAAACAATTCAACATCTAAAGCTTAACCCCGAGAGGTGTCTCTCTAGCTTACATCATGGCCAAGATTGAAATCTTTACAAAGAGTGTCATGTCACTATGAAGTAAATGGTAAAGCTTAGAATGTCACTTCTATACCTAAAACTAGGTTTCAAAAAAATGCCTAGTATTTTTTTTCAGACAGCAGAGAACAGAGAATGAAGGCCAAAACTTACCCGCTGGACGTTTTTCTTAGAATTCTCACCATCTTTACTAGGAGAAAGCTCATCAATATAAGAAAACCCCTTATTCACACTTCTGGACTTTCTTGGCGGGCCCATCAGTAGATTTTGCAGTCACTTGAAAAATAAGGAAACAATGAGTTGGCAAATATATTTAAGCAAAAAATACTGCGCTTATAACATTCATATAAAATAAGGACATGAAACTAATTGCAATATATTGTAAACTCTCACAAATGCTAAAACAATCCATATCTATACACGACCAAAATTGTGACTTCTTTTCTTCAATCTCTAAATTGGAAAAATGAGGGCCTGTCTGAACTACAGGCCTTCCATCTCCATTTCTGCTTTCTCAAAATAAATTCCCACTTAAAACAATTAAAGACATCCTCTAATACATGCACGGATAATACACAGGATCTTTCAGTTGTCCAAATAAAGACAGATAAAGACATTTTAAGCACCAGATCAAAACTTCATTTCACTGTTCATGAATTACAGGAAAATATAATGAGATCTTCTCTGCCCTCAAAATTATTTGTGAATTACATAATTTCTGAAATCAAAATTGAAAAAAAAAAGGTAATCCATATTTTGCTTTTACACGTCTTGCTGTTCTTGCATCACATGGACCCATCCCCACCCCACAACCAGCAAGCAAAGATGACTGACTAGAAATTTAAAAGAAAATACAGCTCATTAATCCCACCACTAATGGCCGGAAGCTTCATATACCTTTCACCAAATTTCAGCTGAAAAATAGTCATACCCTCCCACTACTTCCTAGGCAGATCTCTTTCTCTCTCTCTCTCTCTCTCTCTCTCCCCACTTCCCGAAATCTATTTACGTTTAAAATCGTCACTCGAAACAAGGTCAATATAATAACTGTTTTTCTGACCCAGGATGAAATTACTATCATTAACTTTCAAAAATCCACACATAATACAACGTCTCCAAATCTAAAGAATTCAACAGTCCATTACAAGTACATGATAAAACACCTGATCAAGCAGAATACTGAAAAGAACGGAAGTGGCATCTGGAAAATAGATAAACAGTAGTAGTAGTAGTATCTAAATGGGCTATAATTAACATATACAAGCAATATATGCAAACACAAATCTAAAAATTCAAAACAAAAAAAAACGACATATAGAATTTACTTTTAAAAAAAATCAAAAAAATATCTAAATTACGACCATACCAAACCACGAGCCGAAATTCAAAAAGCGAGATGAGCAAAGTAAAGTTCTCATCACGATCGGAAGCTTGTCTCAGAATTTTAAACCAATTGGATGCGATAGGCAATGAATAAATCGAGGAACGAAATAGCAAGTGCAGACAGTTGAAGATAACGAAGACGTTAAGTATGGAGATTTGGTATAGAGAGAGAGAGAGAGAGAGAGAAGAAGAAGAAGAAGAAGCGGATGAGAACTTGGGGCAGTAACCGCGAAACTTGCAAACAAGCGAAGTCCAAAGCTTCCAACACTATGTATTTTGTTTAACCTTTTTAAAGGGAAAATTATACTTTAGCGCCTAAAATATGAATCTTTTTTTTATTTTATCCCCTTAACAATCATATTTGGCATATTATACCCTCAATTATTTGAATAATTTAACAATCATATAATTTATATTGAATGTTTGTTAAATATTTAATGAAAATTTATTTTATTTTGTTACTAAACTATGTAATTTATTTTATTTGGCCCCAATACCTTAATAATTTATGTTCAAAAAGATTGTGATTGGGTCAATATGAAATAATTAAAGTAGTTGTTAGAATAATATGAAAACTTTAATAGTTTAAGGGGAAAAGTAAAAAAGTGTTCATTATTTGGGGGCAAAAGTGTAAGTTATAATTTTTAAGTTATAAATAAATTATTTTTTGGATTTATTTATTCAGTGTGACCACGCCTTTGGTAATAAGATGTTCTGAGCTGCTCGTGGCCACTCAAAAATAGTGAGAAGTCAAAATCCATCATTTAGTAATAACAAAAACCGTCACCCTCGATCTATCATTTATTATTTTTTGGTCTATTTGGTCAACAATCCAGTGAGTAAAAAAATAGCTATTAATCTTCTATAGCTACAATACTTTTGTGTTAGAATCAAAGATTAAATTTTCATTTTACTGCATTATTTCGGTCACTTAAAAAATAAAAAAGTTTTAAAAATATTTTAAAAATAAAATAAAAACAAAAAAATATTTAGAAATTTATTTTTAAAATATTCTAAAAATATTGATTAAAATATACTAAAATATCTTAAAACACCTTGAAACATTTTAAAATAATGGTGAAAATATATCGAAATATCTCAAAACACCTCGAAATATTGGTATTTTAATTCAATCACTAATTTGTTTTGGTCTCTTTGAAAATAAAAACGTTTTAACCATTTCGAAATAAAATTTTGATCCTTATTAAAATTAAATTAGACCTTATTCTAGTTTTAGGATATGATTTAATACAATCATTTCATAAGTTGTAAGTTCTAATGTTAGATAGAACTCACTTTCAATCTAATACTTAGATTGAATTAAGTTTCAAAATTAAGTCCAAATAATATTTTTCATTTTTACAAGATTGCTTAATCTAATATGAAAACGAGAAAAATTATTCAATACAAATTTAAACTTATCGAGTTTAAGTCATTGTTTGGTAGAGTTATGAAGATCTATATTATATACCACTTTTATGTAATAGAAATTTGATATGATACCGAGGATCAAAATTTCGTTTTGGTGTATTGTTTCGGTCAATTAGGAAACGAAAACGTTTCAACCTATTTCGGAAACGTTTCAACCCGTTTCGGAAACATAATGAAAAAAATAAAAAATTTAAAAATTATTTTTTTAATACATTGATTGAAATATATCAAAATATCTTAAAATACTTTGAAACATTCCAAAATAATTGTACAAATGTATTAAAATATTATAATATATCTCGAAACATTATGGAATACCTCAAATTGTTAGAATTTCGATTTCACCACTGTTTCGTTTCGGTCTCTTTGAAAACTGAAACGTTTCAGGTATTTCGACCGTTTCGAAACGATATTTTGATCCTTATACGATACAACATAAAAGCTAACTAAACTATAATTATTCTATATAAATTGAATAAATTCCGATAAAACTCACTTGTACAAATTAAACACCTCATAGAAGTGTCAATTCTTCTCCTCCTCCTCCTCCTCCTCCTCTTTTTTTTTTACCATTGTATCTTGGGGTCACTGAGGATTTACACAAGGTAATTGATTGACAGAAAAAGGAGATCCTCTCCAATACATTTTATCTTCAATTTCGNAACATAGTGAAACAATTTTCCACAGAAAAGCCTCTCCCGGATCAAACCCAACTACTTTTTTTGTTCTCTATTTCTTCCCCCCTCCTTTTTTTCATATTCTATTCTTGTGGAAGACCAATCATAACTGAGATCTTGAGGCTCACTAACATGAACAATAAAACTTGGAATGCTACTCTGAGCATGAAAGCCCATAGCTGGGGGCCTGACACAATGAGATAAGAAATGATTACTATATTACTGGCCTTTTATATGCATGTGCTGAAGATTAAGACAGTTGCACACCAAACATTGACTATTCAGCTATTTATGCCAGTATAACCAAGGCAAGATAGAAAGAATAATGTTGCCACATATCTCTATTACCAACTGTCGTAATCAAAACAAATTAAACAATTTAAGATCACTGAAATTAAAAATACAAGGCAGCGCAACATCAGACTTGTCAAACACTTTCACCATCCTAGGAGAAACAATTCTCAAAAAGAAATAAAACTAATGGCACTGGCACTGCCGTGAGCAAAAGAAAATAAAATATGAAACAAGGAAAAAAAAAAAGAATGAGAGTAACTTAATTTAGCACATTATAATTTTGAATTACATAACTTCAACAATTGAGGAGCTTATTCCTTCCAAGTGTAACAAATTTCTCCAGAAACATTCGGTAGATTGCCATGATGCAGTTAATCTGACATGTTTTGCAACCAATCTTCAAAAGACCTTGAACAATTGAACACCTTCGAATAACTCTCTACAAAGCTCAGCAAAAGACATTGCGGACTTTGGGCAATTAACAAAGATTCCAACTGACATCAATAACATTGTAATCCACCAAATCCAAAATATTTTTTCTGATATCATCAAACACCATGCATATTTGATAACAGCCAAAACTGTTGCTTTGTAAGCACAATTCCACTTCCCATATATATCTTCTTATTTTTTTTGATAAGAAACAATGATTTCATTAATCATAAAAACAAAAGTACGAAAGGTATGCCAAAGTTGGACAAGACATCTAAACACTAAGACATGAAACAGGGAAAACAAAAGGCAAAAAAACATTGCAAATGCATATATATCCATCTTCTTCTGCCATATCGATTTGGTCATTCACCTCATCACTTTGAAAGATCCAACATTTCTTGGTATAGCTTCAAGAGCTCAGGAGCTTCCTTCTGATAAGACTTCTCAATATGCCCGACGAACCTCTTTTCAAAAACTACCAACATTGTAGTCAAATGAAAACCCTTCAAGTCCACACCTTTCGACAACAAAAGTCCATAAACTGAGCACCTAGGGACAATCCTCTGCTCCAAGCTATGTGAAAGGATATTTGTCCTCTTGGCAAGTTCAGAAGTCTCCAAACCCATATTATTGATGAGATAATCCATTACCCCTGTAGTCTTATCCTCAGACACTGCCATACACCACGGATTCTTCCCAAACCAAAATCTCATCCTTAGACCAACCCCACCTCTTGTACACTTCCACCTTCTTTTCCCACTTTAATTTATTCATTATTGCACGTACATGAATTGCCGTAACAAACTTTCTTCTCTGCGGGTTAAACCTCATTTTTTTAACTTCCTCCACAATATTTTTGAATCTTTCAATACTCGTCAAGAACGCTCTAGGGCGGAACATTAGCAAATCCAGAATATTCGATTCGGGAACTCCCATATCCCGCAAAATTTCAATTTTTGGCAGCAAACTAGTTTGAAAACCACAGCATAATAATCCACCATCATAGTTCAAGGCGGCAATTGTTTTTTCATGTGACTGCAGTAAATTTTTGAATAAATTGAAAGATGGGCTGATTTGATTTTTCAAGTTTCTTTTCAAAATATTTGGTGCTCGAGTTAATATTTTGGCAAGGTCAGTGCTTGAAACGCCTTCAGATGTAAAAAATTGGAATTTGGGCAAAATGGTTTTCTCCGGATCACATAGTAGGATTGGAGGGAATCCTTTGACGAGATTTGAGATCTGGGTTTCAGAGAACCCATGGTTTCGAAAGAAGGCAAGCACTGAATCAGGTTTATTAGGGGTTTCAAAATTCATGTACTTTGAAGCTGAGAGAGCTTTTTCTAGAGGAAACCCACATGAGTTTATGAGGTAAGAGACTGTGAATGACTGATCATTTGCAGAATTTGCTACGGATTTGAGAATTGTTCCTGATGATGATAACGGGTGGTATTGAAGCAGAAACAGTATATGGGTTGGTTAAATTCTAAATGATGATCTCACATAAGGCAATGTTTTGCATACAAAACTAAACATGGATGAAGTTTAATTAGGAAGGCCAGAAGGGATTCACTCACCTGTGCTTCCAAGGCAAATAATCTCTACGTGATTTTCAAACTCTTGCCCTAAAACCCTTCGTCTGCATAAACCCTGATGAAGCCTTCTTCTAAACCTTCGACGTCGTACTAGAGCTGCAACTGGGACAGGCAAACTCGAATCCAACCCAAAAAATTGACGAATTAATAAAATTTTTAATACTTTGGCCGAGTTGTCGGTTAAACACGAATATTAAAATTAGGTTGAACTAGGATATACCTAAATATATAATTATATTTAATTATGGTTAATATTTATTTTTACTCTTTATAATTCAAACTTTCATTTCACTAAGTCTTCACTCTTGTGTCTCTATCACCCTTAGATCTCTCTATTGCTTGTCACTCATTTGTCATCTGATCTCTGACTCTCAGTCTCCCTCTCTCACTCGTTTAATCTGAGACTCTTAGTCTCCCTCTCTCTCACTCGTCACTCATCTCTCTTTTTATCAACTCGAATTAAGTAATTCGATCGCAACTCGATTTTTAACCTAAAAGTAGCTCAAATCAAAACCAAGTCTGCTCGAATTAAACTCGGACAATACTCTGGTCGAAGTCAAGTTAGAGTTAGGCTTAAGATTAAAAATTACATATCTAGGGTTATGATAGGGTTAACCTCTCAACCCGCCCCAATTGCACCCCTACATCATATCTCGTCCGACAAATATTTTTCCTGCAAATTATACTTAGACCCTTAAACTCTACTTCTATCACTCATTTCACATTGCTTAGGACGATAATCGAATCGAGCTCCGCTCAAGTTCGTAAAATTTGGTTTGATTATTAGCCCTACCCCAAGTTATCAATTTCACTCATTACTCCTAAAATTATTAATTTGAGTTTCACATTTTCTAAATCATTGATTTTTTTTTTCCGACAAATCAACTAAAAAAAATTGAAATTCTACCAAGTTGAGGATGAAAAGACCACATCTCCTAATATTATGGGATCCCCACTTGACTCTGGTTTGTTGTGAAAATTTGGGCATAAACAATTATTAGGACGATGTGAAACTTAAATTAATAGTTTTAAGTGCAATGTTAGAAAGAGAATAGTTAGGGGCCAATGTGAAATGAGGGGCATATACAAATGGGTCCAAGTGTAATTTGCCCTATTATTTATTTTTCTCTTTTTCGGCTATATTTCATGTGGATACTGCTCATTATCTGAGAGATTACAATTTATATAGTTGTTAGTTTAGGTGTTTTAATATGTGAAGAAAATGTCATCGTTATTTTAGGATTAATAACCCTTAAAAACTTTTGTTAGTTCATCACGAAAATGATATAAAAGTTATTTGACATAGGTTTCACCGTTAAAAATTTGTCACAATTAGGCATGTGAATCATGTCGTACGAAACGAGCTTGTATCTAATTTTAGCAAGTTCATGTCAAAAAAAAAACTTCACTCATACTTAATTCATTTATTAATTCGTGTCTAACCAATCGTGTGATATTGAATTCGTATCGTATATGAATCATGTATAATGAGATTCAGCCATATGCCTGAATAACCAAGGCAAGATAGAGATAAAAATGTTGTCAAATATCTCAAATACAAACTGTTGTAATCAAAATGAATAAAATCACCGAAAATATAAAGAAAAGGCAGTGTGGCATCAGAAAGGTCACAATTTCACCAACCCAGTAAAAACAATGTTCATAAAGACCTAATCTAAATTAATGGCACTGCCATGAGCAAGACAATATAGGTTAGATTACCCTAAGTACTGGGTCCTTGCTATTTTGAAGGATCCAATTTTGCTCGATGTAACTTCAACAGCTGAGGAGCTTCTTCCTCGTCAGGAATCACAAATTTCTTAAAGAAACTTATTTTCAGTACACTGCAACAATGTAGCTAAGCTTGCATGTTTTTCATCCAGTGTTCGAAAGAACTTGAACAATTGAACACCTTGGAATAATTCTCTTCCAAGCTCTGCAAAAGACATTGCACTATTGCAGACTTTGAGCAATTAACGAAGATTCCAACAGATAACATTATCATAACAATCCATCACCGCCATAATCTTTTTCCCAATATGTCATAATACACCATGGATATTTGACAAAAGCAAGAACTGTTGCTTCACTAGACCAATTCCAGTTACCATAAAAATCAATCTTCTTCTGTCATATCGAATTGGTCATCCACCTGATCACTTTGAACGATCCAATATTTCCTGATATAGCTTCAAGAGCTCCGGAGCTTCCTTCTCATAAGAATTCTCAATATGCCTCACAAACTTGTTTTCAGGATAATTAAACATTGTAGTCAATCTAAAATCCTTCCTGACCAAACCTTTTGACACCAGAACTTGATAAACTGAGCACCTAGGGACAATTCTCTTCTCCAAGCTATATGAAATTATTATAGGAGATTGGGCCACTACAGAAGTCTCCAAACCCACATCGTTGATGAGATAATCCATTACCCCTGTAATCTTATCTTTAGAGGCTGACATACACCATGGATTCTTCCCAAAGGCAACCACGATCTCATCCATAGACCAACCCCACTTCTTATAAAGTTCCACCTTCTTTTCCCATGTCGACTTACTCATAGATTTCCGCGTATGAATTGCACGAATAAACTTCATTCTCCGTGGGTTAAATCCCATTTCCTTAACTTCGTGGACAATATCTTTAAACCTTTCAGTACTTGTCCATAACGCTTTAGCGTGATATATTAACAGAACCACAATATTCGATTCCGGCACACCCAAATCCCGCAATATATTAATCTTAGGCACCAAATTAGTCTGAAAATCATGACACAAAAATTCAGCATTACGTTTCATGGCGGAAATTGTTCTTTTACGCGATTGCAGTAAATTTTTGAACCAATGGAAAGATGGAATGATTTGGTTTTCCAAGCTTCTTTTCAGAATACTTGGTGCACGAGTTAATATTTTGGTAAGGTCAGTGCTTGAAACGCCTTCAGATGTAAAAAATTGGAATTTGGGCAAAAGGGTTTTCTCGGGATTACATAGTAAAACTGGGGGAGACCCTCTGACAAGATTTGAGATCTGGGTTTCTGTGAACCCATGGTTTCTAAAGAAAGCAAGCACTGAATCAGGTTTGTTGGGGGTTTCAAAATTCATGTACTTGGAAGCTGCGAGAGCTTTTTCCGGAGGAAACCCACATGAGTTTATGAGGTAACAGACTGTGAATGAGTGCTCATTCGAAGTGTTTGCTACGGATTTGAGAATTCTTCCTGATGATGATAACGGGTGGTCTTGAAGAAAAAACAGTTTATGGGTTGGTGAAGTTCTAAAAGAAGACCTCAAAGAGGGCGACGCTTTGCATATGAGATTAAACATGGATGTTGGACAATTGCGGAAGGGACTCACCAGTGCTAACAAATTCCAATGTGAAATCAGCCCGGAAACCCTCCTCCACGATAAACCCTGTAGCCCTCTCCTGAAGTTTTTGCTTTTAGGTTGGAAGCCGCCTTCTAAATTACTCTCTCGAACATGGATTGAAAATATAGGCAATGCAGGAAGAGACTAACCTGTGCTTCAGAGAGAAATTTCTATGTGCTTTTTGAATCTCCTGCCCTAAAAACCCTGCCTTTTGGGATGACACCCAAAACCCTCGCCAAAACTTGAATGGCAGATGCAGAAGGTAAAAAAGTTAACTTCAACCCTCACGAATCACACATAAAAGAAACCTTTTTTTATTTTCTTTACTTCTTGGGACCATAAAAAAAAAGGAAATGGGTCCACTTGAAATTTTTTTTTAATTTAACAGTAAAGAGTGTTTAAATTTATTTATCCACGCCTTGTTTAATCATCTTTTTAATTTGGTCAAATATCATTTACGTTAACACTAGAGTATTCATAATTAATAAATATCTCATAACTTAATCCTAAAGAGTTGTTAATATTCGAATTTAAGATGTTTAGGTATGTCGTTCGTCTCTATTATCACTTTAACTATCACTCAGATTACTACTTATTTTTACTTTTAAATCACAAGCCATGAGCAATTACTTCTAAATTCATTTTTGTTAGGTATTACATGTACGAGGATCTAACATTGAATAGAAAAATAAGTAAAAACATTTTTATTGAAACTCTGTATATTTAACTTGTGATACAAAATTAATTATTAAGTTTTTTTATAATTAAATTTTGTTTATATATCATTTTAAATGGATAATATGAATAGTTCATTCAATCTTTGTTTCATAGCAAAAAGAATGAATTTTATATAAAATATACAAAATTACAACTATATTATTTATACTAATTTTTTTATATATTTTGAAAGAGTACTTTTATAATACTAGTAGGTGCATACATACGTTACACGTGAATTATTTTGTTATATGATTTTTGTTTTCCTTGATCCATGCTTTATAGGAAAAATCGAAAAGTGAACAGTGAAAATATAATAATTATATTAAAATTATGCCCATAATTAATCTAAATTCAGTAAAATACCCTCCACACCCTCTTCATATCAAATCCCTCCAATATTACATCAATAAATGTCTCACACTACCTTTTTCTAAGTACAATTTGAATTTTAATAAAAAGGTCTATTTGACTAATTTGGACAATAACATTGGTCCCCTTTGATCAAATTATTTGAGTTCCTTCTAAATAAAAAATTTTGTATTCATATTAAATACGGTTATGGTCAACAAACCATAAATCATTTTCCAATAAGAGTGCAAGCCATTGTTTCTAAAGCAAATGAACTATAAAAACTTCTATCCACAAATATAAATGACTTATCTTTCACAAAACCTACATACTGATTATTACATTTGGCCATTGATTTACATGTCGTTGTTCAATCATTCAGCTTGCAATGATAGATTTTTCAAAAAGCTTAATAGGTATCTAGGTGTGGGGGATAATATCTTTGCATGCCTTGAACTAATAGATGTTTGATTTTTTTTTATGTACCCTAAAATGGCATGATTATAAGGTCGGTACAAAAAGAGTAACATAGGAAAATATCTTTTAATACTTAAACTTTTCCCATATTGACCCTTCTTGTTCAAGTATTTGGTGAGTGAGGGAGAAAATGGCTGCCTATACAAGGAATTTGATCTTGATTCACTACAATAATCAAGTAACCACTTTAAGATACTTGTTTTCATTAGCCAAGTCTTGCAATCTTGAATAAGAGGAAGCTTAAGAGGTGACTTTAAGAATTTCAATTTATTTTTTACTACGTTAACCAAAGGCCCTCATCAATTCCATGTCTCCATCTAGAAAGGGTCAAGTGAAAGGCCTCGTTCGACAAACTAGAGGTGAAGGTCATTTGCCTCCCTCCCTTAATGGCTTGATGTATGTTTCTTTAGTTATAGACATGTCCAATCTGATAATAGTATGTTTCACATAGTGCAAGGAAGCTCGTTAAACATTCATACGAAAAGAATATCAAATTTCAAGCACTTAAGAAACAATAAATAAACACATATCCATCAGTAGAAGTTAAAATACTAAACAAAAAGAAAACTAATAAACACAAGTCCTCCTTTCTAACCTGGTTCTCAAAGAAATGCATTTGAATACAATCTTAAGAAATGCAAGTATCATAATTAAATAAAATAAGATGAATCATCTTACAATACTTTCTCGGACATATCATTTGGTGAGAAAAGTGGCGACACTAAAGTCATCAAATCCTCATGATCCACACCCATAAGACCATTCTTGCCTATAAAAATGAGGATAAACAATAACATAGCATTTGTAATAAGTAGTTCCAGCTTCATTTTTTGAATTCCCAAAATTGTGAAAGATGAAAGCAAAACCAAATTGTGGTTCCACATCAGCATAGTTTTTCTTCCTTTTTTTGACAACATTAGCAAGAATATGCCAGTAAGGTTGAAACGATTGAAGGTAATGAATGAAATGAGTTTGAGGGGGGAAATATTAAAGGGNGTAAGGTTGAAACGATTGAAGGTAATGAATGAAATGAGTTTGAGGGGGGAAAAATTAAAGGTGGTGACCGAAATGGGTTTGGTGGCAATGGAATCCCAAAGGCCAAAAGTTGTTGCTGATGCTGGCAAGAATGGCATAGGTAGTGGTGGACTGAAAAAATCTTGTTGGACAACATTTTGATATTCCAGTAATTGAGATCATGCTATTAGAGAGTCCTTACCTAAGCGCAACTCAACGGGGAGTGACATCAAGAGCGGCAACCTCATAATTGTCTGTAACTGCCAAAATACTACCCCAAATTTAAAATTTTTCATTCAAATGAGAGTGACATTAAAGATTAAAAAATGACAACAATGCTTTGGGAGTGACAATTTTTCAAACTTTGGAGAGAGAAAAGGAGAGGTAATGACAGATCTAGAGGAGGCACAGAGAGAGGGAAAAGGGAAGAAGGCACAAAGAGGAAAGGGAAGGAGAAGAAGGCGCAGACGCAGTGGGAAAGGAGAAGAAATATTAAAATGACACCCCATTTTAACACTACCATTGGAATAAATTTATAATTCATGTATGTCAAAACACTGTTCAAGATTAAAAATAGGTGATTTGACACCCCCAACATGGCAACTCCCTTTAGAGTTGCTCTAAGGACTTCTTAGTTAGTGGTAGTAAATATGGGAGTCTAGGAGGTGGTTGCAAAGTAGGGAATTATTGATGGTAAACTCTTGTTTCACAAGGTCTGGGAAAATATGAGGAATTGAAGTTTTAAAGTGTAATTGAATATTGAATATTTTTCAGAACTCAAGTAGTCTAAACATTAAATTGTCTTTATAATTCATAAAGTTTAACCATTAAATTGTTTGCATTTGATGGAGAACAAAATTGACTTTATTGTGCTATCCAATGACAAAATAGGAAAATATATATTTTTTTCAATCAGCTNGTAATTGAATATTGAATATTTTTCAGAACTCAGGTAGTCTAAACATTAAATTGTCTTTATAATTCATAAAGTTTAACCATTAAATTGTTTGCATTTGATGGAGAACAAAATTGACTTTATTGTGCTATCCAATGACAAAATAGGAAAATATAATTTTTTTTCAATCAGCATGCTTTTATTAGTAGATATAGATATAGTATAATCAATATGCAATTAATTCATTAATGATAAAATTTAGCTAATTTAATTGAGGAATATACATAGAGCAAGAATATTAATAGTTACACGGGTTAAGGTATAACATTAAACCATGACCTAGACTTAAAAGGATAAAATTGACCTTATAATATTAATTGAGGAAAAATTAGAAAAAAAAATTTAGTCGTCTTTTATTATTAGTATAAATATAAATATGTGTGTGTAACGTGTTGAATGGGTGAGGAGGACATAGACGAACGACTGTAAAGATGACATTTTAATTATTGGAATACAAAAGAGTAAGAAATCATGACTAATAGTTCACTATTTTCTTGTTCTCTAGCTAATTAGTATATTAATCTGAATTCATTGAAAATGTAATGGATGATGACGGCTGAACTGGAAAAGAGAGGAGATGAAAAGTCNAATCATGACTAATAGTTCACTATTTTCTTGTTCTCTAGCTAATTAGTATATTAATCTAAATTCATTGAAAATGTAATGGATGATGACGGCTGAACTGGAAAAGAGAGGAGATGAAAAGTTATTGCACTTGCTCGATAAATAAATGAATTTTTATGGTGAACAACATTTATAATATATTTAATCACGATAATTTAGATAATTAATAAATATTAGAGGGTAAAAGAGAAAAACAAATATTTTTCCAACTTACGTACTTTTTAAAGTAGTACAAATATAAATATAGATATAAATATTCACTTGAGGTGTCAATTTTTATTGGGCGGACCCAGTGTATGGGCCAGAAGGAGTAGAATTAAAGCCCAAAAATTGGTTGACAGTGGGCTTGGTCCGGGCATAAATAATCGCTTATAGTGTATTCAAAGGAAAGGTATAAATACTCACGCCTGAGAATTTCTCAACTTTTCAGCAATAACCAAATGAAACGCCGACACAAAGATACGGTCCGAATGCGGCCAAAAGAGTAGTGATGCGGCAAATCTTAAAAAGCGCCACGTGTAGCCAAGTACTTGTGACTTGGCCCCACACTAACCCCCCACGCTTTTTACCTGTTCACCGACTACTCCGGTTCCCCCTCCATCCATTCAAGAGTTCCGAAAAATACCTTCTTTATTTTTTTCCTATTACACCTCCTATTTTTCATCAACCACAAAATGACGTGTATAAAATTTTATAATTTTATAATTTAATTAATTAATTATATTATTTTTAATGGCAATGGTCATAGACAAATTCATAAATAATCAACAATCCCTGAATAGATTTCGATTACTTACTTATCACCTTCCACACTAATGCATATTTTGTAAATACCAAAATAAAAACACTCATCATTTAAGAACTATTATGATCGATCATATAGTCTCCAAGTGGTCTTTTGGCTCAATTTTAGAGTTAAAAATAAAACAGATCAAGTTGAAGGCCAATTTTTTGGGCTTAGCTCTAGGAATGCAAATGAAAACAAATCAAGTCGAGCACCAAATTATTTGAAGAGATAAATCGTTTACAAAATGTGTTTTTT